GTAATGATATTTAGTCCTTTTTTTTCCCACTAAAAGTAACTCACTCACCTTCTTTATCTGCAAGTGGGGGTGATGTAAGACTGACCTTCTTCTTCATTTTTGTCGCTCTGACTCAGGCAGTTGTATACTTACTTTCTGTGGATAGAAAAGTTAAACATTGGAATAAATATCAGTGTAACTTAATATACTTTAAATGTAATGTAAATGAGGCAAGTTACACTGTATTTTATTGGCACAAACAGACAGGAAAAAGGATGACATGATCTGCTGAGAATTCAATAATTTCAGACAAGCTGATAGCATGTGGGTTGAATTAACTTCTTTTTATCGTGCTGTCTTGTTCATTGTTTTCAATTTTTATCCAGCTGCTTGGACATACGAAGGACAAGGGAAATATTTCAGCAGCACATTACTCTGCACAGGTCAGGATACCAATATAAATGATAAAAGATTAAAACACAACAAACAACATGAATAAGTATTAATGGGTTTAATAAACCACTCTGGGTCTTAAATCAGTGTATCAGAATCCACATACCTGGACTTCTTGGTGAATCTCTGCTTTCTTACGAAACCCACCAACAACGCTGAGGTTCTTCAGAGGAATGTCCTATCTCACACTCAGGTTAACCTATGCCTCCCCTTTTATACTATCTACTCCTCCATTAGACTGATAAACGTCAGCAATATTTGCTGACATTTGCAAGTCTTTGCAAGACAAATTTTAACTAAGTGAAGTCAGTTTATGCCTCCTGCCTCTAGGCTGATTCCTTTATTTTAAGAACAAATTCTAACATTTTCAGAAATTATAAGGTTATGAAAGAAAAAGAAAAGAAAACATCCTTTAAGGCAAATGTATTAACTTGTTATCAGAAGTGATTGTAAAAAGGGTTTAATGACCGCGGGGACATTCATTATGAGTAGGAGTTCAGTCTGTAATTTGTGTCTTTGTGAAATTTTGATCCCCACCTTTCATTAGCAGTCATTAAAAAAATTCTTTACAAAACTTTTATTATTTGCAAATTTCAATGAACAAGTGAGAGCGAAGAAATAAGCTAATTACAAACTCTTCTACTGCTAATTCTAAAGCTGGTTATGCTTATATGAATTACATCATTAGAATACATTTAAATGTTTGTTAGCCACCTGTCTCCTTTACATAACTGCAACTGTTTTGGTAGCAGTGTGAGCTTCCTCAATTTTGATTTTTAAAAGTGTTGATACGTCATAACAAACACAATTCTATCTCAGGTTGGAAGAACAAATCCTTGTAAATAAGCAGAATCTCAGGGAAGGAGTGAGGATATAGGGGTTAGCGTTTGTGGGATGGTGATGAAGGGCCTGGTTTTGGAATTTGCTCCTGCTTTACAGCAGCTTATTGTTCACAACACCGGTGATTGATAATAGCACAGGTAGGACAGGGCTCCACTCCGTCAGAGCTCCTGTGTTCTTACACTCTTACCCAACTTACACTTACAGCTACTATTCTTAAACGTTTAAATACTTTAAATAATGTAATTGTTAGTGTAAAACATAATGATGAAATGATAAATACTTAAATAGACAGTAATATGGGGCTGAGGCTCCTGGAAAAGACTATGAAATAATGGAAATTTACCATCAGATAAAAATACCTAAATACAGAAAATTTCTGTATTTTTACGAGATAAGACATTAAAATACACTTGTTTTAGCTTTATATTTACATGAAATCTTGTGAATTTAAACAGGCTTTGTTAATAAAATATAGCTACACGTGTAAAAACAATGAAATCACCCCATAATGTGGTCAAACACTCATCTAGTAAAATCAGTGGAGCCTGAAATTTCAAAAACGTATTGTTATTAGTTGAGCTTTATTGTGTAATTGTTTTTAAAGAATTGTGTTAAAACTTTTATTCCATAATTAATGTAAAAATATATATATCTACACATTAAACAAAAGTCAAAATACTTTTATTAAACTAGTAACTGGGTTTAAAAATACAGCATTTACTGTTCATTTTGGATTATATGAACAGTATAATAGGTTTTTATGTGTGTTCAAACAAAAAGTTAATGGATTTACCCTCTTACAAATATCCAGAAAATGTTATTATAATTACAGTATACTGTTATTTACAAAGCTTATCGAGTAATTACTTATGGATGTCAATATTGAAAGAGCTGAGCTTAATGAAACACTAACTTTACTTTGTGTAATAATGCCTTAACACTACTGCAATATGACATTAATACTGTTGAGTTTGCTTTAGCTGTCCTTAAAAACATTTGACAGTTTAAAGAAATCTGCAGCTGTAAAACCACTTGACCACTTGAATGATGATATTGTGTTTTATAACATCAGCTTTGTACCATAAGGACACGCTTCGTTCCTGTGCCTCAACATTTAATTCTGGTAGCAAACAGAAAACGACAGAAAACTTCTCACAATAATACAAATGTATTAGGTTGTTATCATAAGTGATTGTAAAAAGGGTTTAATGACCGTGGGGACATTCATTATGGGTAAGAGTTCAGTCTGTAATTTACAACATCATTGTGTAATTTTGATCCCTGTCCTTTATTAACAGTCATTAAAATTGTCTTCACAAAACTTTTATTATTCATAAACTTCAATGTACAAGTGAGAGCGAATGAAAAAGCCAAGCACTAAATGTTCTAGTGCTAATTTTTAAAGCTGATTATACTAATTTTTTTTTATTGTTGATTGTTCTCAACACAGGTGAATGATAAAAGCACAGGAAGGTCGGGGCTGTCAGAGCTCCAGTGATTAATCTTACATGAACACCTGCTATCAAATATTCTTAAATAATTACTGTACTTTAGATTTAAATGTTTACAATGATAAGTCTTAAACAGTTAGGACACACTTACTTCCTGTCCCCCAACACTTCATTTTGTTAACAAATAGACCACATCAGAAAACTTTTATAATAATGTGCTATAAAAAACAAAACTGTTCTTTTTAAATAGCTTTTAATGAACCATAACAAACACACAGAATTGAAATGAAAAACCCTAAATTTAGAGTCACACTGAACATGGCAAGTTTCCCTGGTGCTGCAGACACTTCAAAGGTGTTTGGACACCTGTTATTTTTCAATCTAGGTGCAACTGACAACAGGTACAGTTAAGATTTGCTGTGAAAAAGTGCAGGTGTAGTCTAGCTCTACCAGGATAACACATAGGTGCAAGGTGATTTTCTCTGTCTAAAAGCACAGAGAAAATCTAATACATGAGGAATGGAAGACAGGAAAGAACTGAAGAAAGGCATCAACTAAGCTTTGGGACCAATGTCTTTGTGCAGAGAGGAAGACAACAAACAATGCCAGTCCTTTTAGTGAAACCTGTGCTCACAGTCCAACACCATGCAAATTGACCAACATTCCTCAGAGAATACCAGAACTGGCTGGCATGCCAGTCTCTTCACAAATGAGAAGAGGTTCACATATTTCTTAGGGGAAGATGACCGCCAGCCATCTGCTCAAAGTGTTCTTCTTCCCTTTATCATCTTTCCTTTTATCTTGAAGGCAGCTGTTGAATTAAATATAAACATAAAGAGACAAATGACTGCTTAAAAAAGAAGTGAGAATCGTTTTAAACAGGAATAATAATGATGATGCAGTAAAAATGATTAGAATTAACACTGAAAGACTACATGGAGGGAACACTGAAGGAAAAACTTAGTTTATTATCAAGACTGCATTAACTAGTGCTTTTCAAAAGTATCTATAAAGGTTTCCCTGCAAAGTTTTACATTATGACACAAAAGATGCAACTGAAGGTGACAGTGAGCAAGTACCAATCACCAATAGCAAAGCTATTGGTGATTGGTACTGCTATTACTTAGATTTCCTAAGACCACCCTCACCTTAATATCATTTACTAATATATGAAGATTGAAAACAATTATACCCTTGTTCAAACTCCTACATTATACAACATATCTGAATGAACAAACTCATGTAAAATTACAGAAACTTTATTTCTTTTTCTTTTTGTCTTATTTTGCCATTTTACACTCAGTGCATCAAATTTAGATATGCATTTACGGCATAAAACTGGAAATTAACACCTTTATCTTCTAAATAAACATAAAATATTTGGGAAATTATTTTAAACATTTTTTCTTATTTTTACAGTCTTTTTGTGTGTGATAATGTTTTAAAAATCCGTAAAAATGTAAAACAAACAAACAAACAAACAAACATATATATTCTATATATTCATAGTACAGTTTTTTGTGGTATTTTATATTAGACATTAGTCGATATACAGACAGTTTTTTTGTAATTTTATTGATATTTCACACATTCAAAAATAACAAGACATTTCTGTAAAGTGTCAACATTCAGGTAAATTTGGGGGGGGGGTCTTAACACTGTTTAGGTTAGCTTAGCACAGACTGGAAACCAGCCTACTGTGGCTTGAACGGTAATAAAATGCACCTCCAAAACCTCCCAAAGCTCAGTAATTAACATATCGTTGCTTGACTGGTACAGTATGTTAGAGCTGGAGGCGGGCTGTGGTTATCACATTACTTCTGAAATGGGAACTGTGAATTTCCGTGGTCCCACTGGTTCCTGGCAGTGTAGACTTTGATAGACTGATTATGGTCATTCTCTCCATATAAAATAAAGAAACGGAATGGGTTTGTGTTTCTTCAGGTCCAAGCTCTACACATCAAGAACCAGTAAAGATACAGTTGAAGACAAAAAAAGATTAAAAAATAAATAAATAAATAAATGAAATAAGTGTAATAAAAATTGAGCGAGAAATTTAGTGTCCAGGGGTTGGCGCTCTTCATTCAATTTTCAGTGGAAAAAAAACACAGAGCTCCGGCTGAAGTTGCCAGTTCAGTAATTTTTCCGCTGAACTGGCTGTGCTGCTTCTTACCCCCGCGTTCTCTCCCTTTTGGTGCATTTTGTCACGCAGCCATGGCAACCCTTAGAGTCAACCACTATCCCCGGAAGTTTCGGAGAACTGGCAACAAATTAAATAGAGGAGAGAGAAAAATGAGCTTCTTACTTCTTTTCGGTGGAGGTTCATGCCTCGCTGCGCTGCAGGTCTCATTTCATGTACTGACTTTGGAAAACACGGAAGTGAGTTGTTTTTTTATATCTTTTTTTTTTTTTTACTTACACTCCATATATGAAGTTTATCAATCTTTCCGCGCCTTGAAATTTTATATTTTATATAACAGGCGGGAAAGTGAACTAAAGGTGACGAATTTAAAGTTAATGCGATAAAAGGCTTGGCTCAGTGTTACACCCAGTAACTTCAGTTACTCGTTTATTCTGATCAGTTCAAAGGTGTGAGGCGCATTCACCCCACCACAGGTAAGGCTTTTGAATCTACCTGCAGCTGAGGAGGATAATCAACTGATTTCATAATCAATGAAGTGTGTGGGTCAAGATGAGTATTATTAAGAGAAATCTTACTGAGGAAAAAGTATCAAATACCCCCCAGGTCCCGGCTTCTAAACTGTGATTATTTCCTGTTTTCCTTCTTTCTTTTTTCTTTCTTTTTTTTTTTTTTTGAAATTAACTAATTTGAATTTTATTTCTTGTTCTTGACTCTGTGTGAGAATATCACTGTGGAACAACATTAGAGATTTTTTGTTATTCCTCCAGTGTTTTACAGATATGTTAGATCCAAAAATCTAACATAAAGATGAATCCAGATTTTCAAAATTAATTAGCTTGTGCGACTCCTGCATAGCCCACAGGGCATTCCTGCCACACCCAGCTCCAGTCACCCAGGCTGATCCCACCTCCATCCCCACCTTAGTACATTGTTCCACCGGATAAACCTGTCAACTAGTACATTTACTCAAGCATTTCTCCTACTTCCTCATCTTGACTCAGGGGAACATATTTTAAAATCGGTATTTTCAACTTGGAAAAATAAAAATAAATCTGAACCTAAATTGTTGTAATTATGATACACAAATTTCGGCCTTTTACTTTAAGTACTTTACCTAACCTAACCATTCACTAGTTTAAAGACCAGGAGGATCCACAAAAACACAGGGGGGAAACACAGATAACTGGCAACGGTGCATTAGAGCCAGCATAAAATCTGTGTCAGATCAAACATGTGGATCGATCTCCTATGGTTAACCTTTGGGGAAAGAAGGAGAGCACCCAAAAGTAGCTTTAAATGTATGTTCGTGCTAATTTCTTTTATAGTGTAATATTTCTAAATTTACTCACAATAATTTAAATACTTCTTCATCCGCTAGACGAGAGTGTAAACTTCCCGTGGCCATTTCCTTTGTCTCATTTCTCAAATGACAGTAAAAGTCGTCAAAGTAATATGTGAAATTCTTCACAGCCTTGTGTTATCTCTCATTCTTTGCATTTTGCAGATGTTTAGTTTATCTTTATATTTCCGTCTGCAGTCTCACCAGTTGCTGATTGTGTTTGTAGTCAAAACAGATGATTTAATCTTTCATTCTAACAGGTTCCCTCACAGTGGCGCCATTGTGTATATATGTAAGGCCTTCATGCTACATGCTGTCACCATCTATAATGCATGATATCAGTCTGGGAGAGAAGCATCTGCCAGATGTTATTGTCATCACTTTAATCATCGGGCATTTTTAAATAATTTCACAAATAAAGTATTTCTCATTTACTAAAAAAACCCCAAACCCAAAAAGTTTAGTCTTTTTGGTTGTCTGTGAAGTCTGCCAAGCCCACAGGCATCACGTCATGAGCGTTGTAAAGCATGTTTACGGAGCTTGAGTGTGTCAAGTCACAGCAGGTTGTTAACCTGTAGTAGCATGCTCAGATGGTTTACAGATGTAAAACTATGCATGACAAATAGGAGTGTGAATGTGTGCGCAAAGTCAAGACAACATATTACAGGAATATGCAGAAGAGTAGGTGTAAGGTCATTTCCTTCATTGAAGAAAAGAGCATTAGGTGTACGGTTGGCCAAACAGGAGTGACAGGATGATCCGTAAATCACAGCATGGTTTCGTTACTGTCTATTCCTCACATCCAATGCAAATACAAGTGCTGGTTTTCTTTACAAAGTAGATTCAGATATGACGAGTATTTGTACAAAAGAGCAGCCGGTTAACCAAAGAAGAATGATGGAGTAGGCATTCAAATATGACAGGTCTTTTAAGTAATTAAAATAAGGAAAACAAGTCAAGACTTTAGAGTCATACCTTATTAGAAACCCTGTCATTCTAATAAGGTATGTAATCATATTGGCCAACCGGACTGGCACAATTCAGAACCGTGTCATTGATCTCAATGATTTAATCATCAGATGAAGCTGTCATTTATCAGCAGCCTACACTCGTAGTTTTGACCCCCTCACACAGCCGCTAAGGGTTTTGGCTCAACCTCCTATGTTATTGCACATCAACACCTATTTGTTATAATCGTTTAACCATGACCTATAATATATATGTATAAAAGTTCCCGAAGTTATTTGAATATAACCTAATAATAATGTTCCACCTTCTTCTTGACCTTAGAAAAATGTTTCTGTACATCCTCGGGCTGGTGGCTGTTTGGTTCGTTTATCGCTGGTACAGAGAAACCAAAAGAGTCTCCAACAAGGAGGACAAGTATGTGTACATCACAGGTTGCGACTCCGGGTTTGGTAATCTCCTGGCGAGACACCTGGACAAGCTGGGCTTCCGCGTGATTGCAGGCTGTTACACCGGGAAGGGTGAGGATGAGCTGAAGAAGGTCTCCTCCGACAAACTGACCACCATCCACCTGGACGTCGCCGACTCTGAGAGTGTGAGCAAAGTGGCAGCTTTCATCAAGACTCTGGTTGGACAGAAGGGTGAGTGGCTCAGTGTAAAGTCTCCCATTTTTAACTGATGAACTTAAATGTCAAATATTTGGATTACATGCCAGGAAAAACCAGGATTAGTTAAAGTGGCTGTTAAGGCAATTCATCTGTTTTCACAGTCATTTCTTTATTTTTATCGCAAAAGTAGTCCATCACAGTAATTTTTAATCGCTTTAGATAGGCGTGAGTAGAATAAATATACTAATGAAAGAATTATTCAGTATTGATTTCTTGAATAAAATGTGAACAAGACTGAAACTTAATGTAAAGGCCTTCCTTTTTCACAGTGAGGACTGTGTCAGTCTGTATACTCCTATCTGTTGTCAGTATAGTCAATAACCCAGCTACCCACCCACCCACCCACCCACTCACTCTGTTTATTCCAGCATGAAGGAAAATAAAACAAACCCTGAACAACTGAACTGTAAGAACAATGAAGCAAAGAGAACATCTCATTATGTTAGTGTTTTTATTCATCTTTAGGCACGAAAAAAATATTTTTGAACTTCATTTTTTTTTTAAAAGCATGTACTTTTCAAAGAATTTTTTACATGTCAATTTCGGTGGACAACATATGTTTTGACTTGTGAATTTGACAAACAAATAAATAATATACATTGTGTGTTGTATTTATGTGCAAGTATACCACCAACGCTGACACAAAGACAAGAAAACAGCCTTTGAATAGCTGTCCACTGTAGTGACCACTATGCGTAAAAGGGTTAATGTATTTAATGACTCAGTGTTTGGATTTGAAGTGTGCCTGCAGGAAGAGCCAGCCTGTTTAACTCATTTCCAGTCATTTTAGGGTTTGGGGCTTGTTTTAATGGTTGATGGCCGCCCCTCCCTGAGCCTGGTTCTGCCGGAGGTTTCTTCCTGTTAAAATGGAGTTTTTCCTTCCCCCTGTCACCAAAGCGCTTGCTCATAGGGGGTCATATGATTGTTGGGTTTTTCTCTGTATCTATTATAGGATCTACTGTACAATATAAAGCACCTTGTGGCAACTGTTGTTGTGATTTGGGGCTATATAAATTGAATTGAATTGAATATCAGACCTGGGAAATGAAAACAAAGTTCTGAGCCCAATTTTTAAACTGGCTTTGAGAAGTTAATGTTATGCAGTGGAAAGTGAAGTGTATCTGCAAATCATTTGACTTTATTGTAGTAGATGCTTAGCTGCTCATATCAGTGATTTTTCAAAGTGTGGATTCATGGAATTGAGTCTAGATTAGAAACCGGCAGAGCATGTTTATCACTTTAAAGTGGGCCTACATGACATAAAATGAGAAGCAAATACACAATGTTCTTAAGAGTGGTTTGCTATGATTTCACAATCAGTCTGGGTTAATGACCCAGAAACAATATCTCCCAGCAATAACACAAAGAATTTAAAAAGTTATGACATTTGAGTTTTCCCAAGGGCCACGGTTGGGGAATATTTTTGACATCTACTCTCTCCAACAGCAGTTTGTAAGGAGATAAAGTTACGTTGAGTATAAATTAGTTAATCTTACTGTTCCAGCCCTCAACAACAGTCCCAATTCTCATGTGGCCCTGTTTTTATGGTATACTATATTTCAACATTAATGATTATAACACGCAGTCCAAAGCAGGGATTTGTGTGTCCGTACTGTGGCTCTCATTGTGCTTCTTGTTGTTGGGTTTGTGTTACTTCAGGCCTCTGGGCTGTCGTGAACAACGCTGGAATCTCAGTGCCGTCCGGTCCCAACGACTGGCTCACCGTAGAAGATTTCAAACCTATGATAGCGGTCAATCTGCTCGGTGTCATCGATGTGACCCTGAGTGTCCTCCCCCTCATCAAGAAGGCCAAAGGCAGGGTGATAAACATCGCCAGTGTGTGTGGTCGAATCAGCCCATTCGGCGGACCTTACTGTGTGTCCAAGTATGGAGTGGAGTCCTTCAATGACAGCCTCCGGTGAGAGCACATCTGACTTTTCAAGCCTGTACATGCGTACCCTGTGAGTCTGCTGACTTGCAGCATCTCATTTTGTGTTTCAGTATCGACATGACACCATTTGGAGTCAAGGTGTTATGCATTGAGCCCGGGTTCTTTAAAACAAACGTGACTGACACAGCTATGTTGAAGAATAACTTCATTAAGCTCTGGGAAAGATTACCTCAGGAAGTGAAAGATGACTACGGGCATGGTTTCTTGGACACAAGTGAGATGCTTTATTTCATTTAACAGATAAGACTTACTCGGATGCATTATGTTTTCAAGCTGTTCATCCATTGCACTCCTTTCCATCTTCAGCCTGACATTGTATCTACTTTAATCTCTTCATTTCATGTGACTGTGCAGAATCAATATGCAGCAGACAAGATTTCGTGCACCAGAAGCTTTCTGGACTCTTTTCAGCTGCATTAATCTTGCCTATGATCCCGACTGATGATCATTAGTCCTTTAATTGAATTGAATCATTTTTACAGAACTCATGTGTGAAACATTTCTCTTTTTAGCGCTTGAGCAGTTGGACGAGAGGTACAGGCAGATTGTAGACGGGGACCTGATGAAGGTGGTCGGCTGTATGGAGCACGCCATCTCTGCCCTTTATCCACGCACTCGCTACTCCCCCGGGTGGGACGCCAAGTTCCTCTGGTTGCCGATGTCGTACATGCCGAGCTGGCTCTCAGACACGTATTTAATTAAAAGTAAACCCAGACCCAAAATATCTGCGCTGTAGTTTCTGTCACGTCAGTCAGTGAAGCATTTTGGGCTAATCTGAAGATTATATGGGCGTGTGTTTATTTTCTTACGATAATTATGACTCTAGACATTATTACATCTATTTAATTGATTAATAGAGCTGCACTCAGAAGAGTACATGTCAGGTAATGAAGAAACCTTTGAGCACTGACAATTAACTTTGTGTCAAGTCATGTAATAATCTTGAATGCTGTGTCATCTCACCTTTGCTAGTAAAGCAAAAAATCCTAACATGTATTCGTCCTACATATCGAAGAGTGTGCTCTGTAACCTTTAGTCAGAGATTTTGTGCTTTCACAATTGATTTCAGTTGAAAGGGGAGTGCTGTTATCAGAACCAGGGCTCATGGACTCTGAGTGTATTACACAAGCCCAAGCGTGTAACCTTTTAGACCCTCCTGTTAAATCGGACTATGACTCTGCAGACTTGTTACATAACTTCACCTTCAGCACCAGGTTTTGATGTAGAAAGCACCTTTCAGTTAATTTATATTCCCAGGGGTGAAGCAGCAGAAACATCTAAAGCTGTAACCATGGTATGTTTGTATTATTTTTATGATTATTATTTGTTCTACTATTGTACATTTAGTGGTGCTTAAATTTGTGCTGTTGGGCTCTTGGTACCCATTGTGATCACCTAGCTCAGCTAACGTCTGGATAAGTTATTGGCTGTTTATTTATTTTACACTAAGTTAATTAGCAGACTTGACAGGAGTGGCTCGATTGAAACCTTTTGTTATTTTTGTATGCGTTTTTTGGGGGGGGTTTTGTTACATTTTACTTTCAGTAGATAGTCTAATGAGATCTGATGCCATCTGGTGGATGAATGAAAATTGTCATGTTTTTAAAAATCTGTTTACCCATAGTGTAGTTTCTAACATGCAGATAGTTTGGCTTTGAGTTTTCACAGGGTTATGTTAATGAAACACAATTGGTGCACAAATAAAATAAAATGTATTGAGAAAATGCCCAAAATCGTACACATTTTTTTCCAACTGCATACTTCCTTATTCCCGCATGTTCGTGTGAGAAACAAAGAGGACAGGATTAAGATCTTTTAATAAAATCTCTCACACCACAATGTAAAAGAACATTGGAATAATTCTTTACAGTTTTATTGTTCAAGTATATCGCTGAGTGTCTATAAAAAGTAATGATCCAGTTTTTGGTAAGTCTTTTATAATCGTGAGCTCTAAGCAGCATTTTCCTGTAGTTTGAGCTAACAGATGTCAGATAAATGGGCTGTAGTTCTAGTGCTTATCAGTTCAGTTTGAGTTCTCAAAGCACTCTCTCACTTCAAGCTTCATTCACTCACACATATACACTTTTTTTTTTAATGCATAACATTCATGCACACACATCAGGGGCAAGTCAGGATTTAGTATCTTGCCCAACGATACTCCAGCATGCAGACCAGGGGGGCTAAGGATCAAACCACCAGCCTCCTGAATAATAGATGAACTGCTGTACCTCCTGAGCCACATCCGCTCCCTCATATATTCCCCTCTCAAATGAGTTCTAGGATAACATAATGTTACCATATGAAATCTGGTAAAGCAGAAGTAAAAAGTAACACATGAAAGGTCAGTAAACCTGTGCTCACAAATATGCTGATTAAATCTCCAAAAGTTGATTCTGTTCATCTGGACGTAGCGTTTTGTGGGAGAAGCGTTTCGACTGCAGGTTTCCCCGATCTTATAAACAGTACATTTGCATAATGACTGAAACCAGCCCACTGAAGGAACAATGGGCTGGGAGGTCAGTTCCTTAATCTTAGTTATGCAAATCCTCATGACCATTGATCAACAACCACCGACCAAAACCCACTGATCAAAGACAACTGATCAATGGCCATGAGTATCGTTCACAGAGAGTTGGGGAATGGCTGCAATCACAGCATTGTAAGATGGCGAAAGATGTACCTTTAGGCCCCCTCCTCGATTCAGAGATGGTCTTTCCCTTTTCACATAAATAGCCTCCTTGACTCCGCGCTCAAACCAGCGTTCCTCCCTGTCCAGGATGTGCACATCCTCATCCTTGAAAGAGTGTCCACTGGCCTGTAGGTGTAAATAGACTGCAGAATCCTGGCCTGACGAGGTAGTTCTTCTGTGTTGTGCCATCCGCTTCGCCAGAGGTTGTTTGGTTTCCCCGATGTATAAATCCTGGCAATCCTCCTGGCACTTAACAGTGTACACTATGTTACTCTGTTTGTGTCGGGGGACCCGATCCTTGGGGTGGATCAATTTTTGGCACAGCGTGTTTTGGGGTTTAAAAGCCACAGAAACCTGGTGTTTAAAAAAAATGCGTCTCAACTACTCCGATACTCCTGACACATATGGGATCACTACAGGTTTTCGCTTGGGGAGCGGTTGTCCTTCACTCCTGGATCGGCTGGGGCTTTCTTTAGGTGCCTTTCCAGCTTTTCAGTCATTATGCAAATGTACTGTTTATAAGATGAGGAAACCTGCAGTCAGCTGAGACTGAAGAAGTCACTTGGATGAGTGACGAAACGTTTCTCCCACAAAACGTTACGTCCAGATGAACAGAATCAATTTTTGGAGATTTACTTACCTGGATGATTGAGAATGCATCAAGACATACTGATTAAATGTATTCAGTTTAACCTTCCAGCTTTCAGACCTGTGAGGGTAGATGCCAATTTTCTGTTTGGGTGAACTGAACTTCATTTGGGGACATATTAATCAGGTGTGGCCACATTTTCTTAGATCTCAGTCTGTTCTACTCAATACTGGGTTAAGGGCTCACTTAGTTGTGAATGGCTTTAAAAGCTATGTAATTCTGCCATAACCAGTTGAGCCACAAGGGGGAGCTGAAGCTAAATAATAGCAGTGGCGCCCTGGTTTGCTAATGTGGTTACAGGCTTTAACACTGAGACAAGTTTTAAATCTTTTATTTAAGTGTTAAATTGCTTTATTCTTCGATGTCCAGAACTTTTATGTGATGCTCTGCTTTATGAAAAATAAAACGAGGCTAAACAAACATTAAGAGGCCGTGTGTATAATTCAGGTTTCATTACTGCTGCTTAAATGTTTTGAAATGCATCCCAAGTTTCTCCCACCAGGTATTTACAGACCGTCTAGCAGCTTATTTGGCAGGGGTAAGACGATTTCTCTGTTTTTGTATAAATTAATTACTTTATCCAGAGATTAAAATAAAGTAGAGGATGGCATTATGAATGTGTGAAGTCTTTCATTTTAGTTGTAATTTTTGTGTCTTAGGTAATCCTGTCACACCTGGCCCTAACCTGTGTTTTCCTTCTGGCCACGCTCGCTGCCGTCCGCTGGTACATCAGAGATTCCTACAAGGTTGATGGTTTCAGCCAGAAACATGTGCTCATCACAGGCTGTGACAGCGGCTTTGGGAATCTTCTGGCCAAACAGCTGGACCGAAAAGGTTTCCAAGTCATGGCCGCCTGCCTCACAGAGAAAGGTGCCGCAGACTTGGCAGCGGCTGCCTCCCCCAGACTGAAGGCCTTCCTGCTGGATGTTACGGACAGCGCGAGCATCAGGAAGGCGGTGGAGTCTGTGAGCAGAGAGGTCGGAGAGCGAGGTGAGCCGGGCGGACAGCAGGGGGTGCACACTGATAGGGTGCCAGTCAGAGTGAAGCACTGGGAGAGATAAAGCCAAGCTGGTCCATCCCGTCATCAACCCATCATCCTCCTACTGATACATGTAACACATCTTGCCTTTTAAGGGAGAAACCTGCTTCTGACATAAATCAAGACTGTAGACTGAGATCTGACTACCAACTGTGGGACAGCATGTGCTGAAAACAAATGTTATTACTGATGGGCAAAAAGTAATTCCATCATTTGATTTTATCTATGAAAAAGATTTTTACTGAAAAAAATAAAGGTGGCAAATGTGTAAAACAAATGCCATAGATCAGTTTGTCAGGCCCATGCTCTATGTAAGTGGCTCCTAACCTTTTTATCTTATAGATCATTAGAAAAGAACCCATATGTCTGTTTTCACCTGCTTCTCAGATGTTCAGTGTGTCAATGACAGATTTTCACCACATAGATTTTCAAATTTTTCGAAACCCAGGGGGCAAAAACATCTGATTTTCCACAAGAACCAAACAAATTTTACATAAGTTGGGAAAAAATACTATTTTGTATGCAAAAGATGTCCAAAGTCATCTCTGCAATGAGTCTACTCCAGCAAATAGGAATTATAGACCTGGCTTCATCCAACATTCAGATGCATATTAGCACACACACAAGGAAGTTTCATGCCATACTTACAAAATGCCTACAGAAAAGGATACAAACCAAAATTTGGCCAACCTGTGTATGTGGAGCATCTCATACTCTTCTCTAGGGTTGAACATAGGTAGCAGATTGATCAACTTGTACTAAAACCTTGCACAGCAGGTCAGTGTTTGACATCTGGAGATGCAGAGAAGCATCTGCATGGGCTGTAAGCAGTTTAATCTGTCAAGATTACAAAGCAAAAGATTTAAAAGATGAAGGTCATGAGCTGTTTTCTGGTGGTCGTTATTGTGTATCCTGCAGGTCTGTGGGGTCTGGTGAATAATGCAGGAAGATCGACACCCATCGGCCCAACAGAATGGATGAAGTTAGAGGATTTCACAAAGGTTTTGGATGTGAATCTGTTAGGAGTGGTTGACGTAACCCTCCAGTTTCTGCCTCTCTTAAAGAAAGCTCGGGGCAGAGTGGTGAATGTAGCCAGTATTCTGGGACGACTGTCTCTCACTGGTGGAGGATACTGCCTGTCCAAATGGGGAGTGGAAGCCTTTTCTGACAGCCTCAGGTATGAACATGTGGTTAAAAACATACTGCTGAGGTGGGGTTTTTTAAGTCATAATTTAAAAAAAAGAAAAAAAAAGAAAGGATTAACACTTGGGTAGGCAAGATGGTTTTGGTGACATTGGACCAATAAAATAATGTGAGTGTCCTGATGCTTTGGTAACTCCACACTACAGTTAGTTACGCATCTTTTAAGGGGAGATCAGGAGACTACTATAAAGCGATGTTAGCAGTAGTTGAAAGAGCTGAAATCTTCAATTCACTTTTATTCAGTTTTATTTATATAATATCAAATCATCTCAATGCACTTCATAATCCCCCAAAATACAGAGAAAACGCAAACAATAAGAAGCCCCCTATGAGCAAGTACTTGGCGACAGTGGGGAAGGAGAAACTCATTTTTAACAGCAAGAAACCTCCAGCAGAACCAGGCTTTAAGAAACACTTCCAAAGCTTTTGAATTCATGCCTATTTTCAAATAACAAATATTTGATATTTGTTATCTGTTAATGGACCTTTTGTCCAAAAATGGACCCATTGACCTCTGCCTATAAAAAAAAAAAATACATACACATAAAAATACACATAAAAATATAGTAAAGCAGAAATGACATCTACCACAGTCTAATGAAAGTATCAAAGGATTGAAAATACTCACATATTAACTATGCCGCAGCATAGTACTGATGGAGAAGTGCTCAGTAAAATTCTTTCACTTGCTTTCAAGAGACACGCTGTCTGCTTTGTCTAACCAGGAGGGAAATGCAGCACTTTGGTATTAATGTGAGCATCATCGAGCCCGGTTTCTTCAAGACTAACGTGACCCGCATTGATCTTATTGACGCTAACCTGAGGAGACTGTGGTCCCGCCTCCCTCAAGATGTGAAAGACTCATATGGAGCTACATACTTTGATGAGTGTGAGTAAAAGTGCACTTTGTTTAAATCAGCTACAGATCAACTAAACAGATGCTCTGTAAGATCACTTTTATCTGATTATTGATCTCTCAGATGTGAAAGCTCAGACCTTCTCCATGGGACTCTTGTGCAGTCCGGATATCTCTAAGGTGACGAGGTGCATGGAGCACGCGCTGACCGCTCGCTTCCCACGCACACGTTACGCAGCAGGCTGGGACGCAAAGCTTTTCTGGATCCCTTTGTCCTACCTCCCTTCATTCATTGCAGACTTTATAGTCAATTTGATTCTCCCTTCTCCTAAACAAAAGATGTAAATAGCAGACAGCCTTTAACATCGCTGTAAAACTTTGTATGACTGTGTCATTACTTCTCTCCTGTGTATATGTTGACCATGTTCACCCTAAGCTAAAGCTGATTGAGATTTTCCCACACAGCATCTCTAGGGGTTAGAAAAGATGATTCAAAAAAAGATAAAACAGTAGCTCAAATAACCACTTGTTAAAACCAAGATATACAGAAGAGCATCTCTGAACACACAACACATCAAACACTGAAGGAGATGAGCTAGAGCAGCAGATGACCCCACCGGGTCCCATTCCCATCGGCTAAGAAGAGGAAGCTAAGGTTACAATGTGCACGGGCTCACCAAAATTAAACAATACAAGACTGGCCTGTTGAGTCTTGATTTCTGCTGTGACATTCAGTTAATCGGGTCAGAATATGACATAATTAATATGAAATCGTGGATCCGTCCTGTCTTGTATCAGTGTTTCATGGTGGAGGTGGTGGTGTAATGGTGTGGATCTAAAGGACCTAAAGTGTGCCACATATTTAAGCTCATATGTTTGAAATTGTTTAAACACCACAGCCTATGGTGGCGACTTCCAGCAGGACAACACTAACTCATTTAGGATGTTGTGGTAGGGGAGATTCACACCATTAATGTGCAACTGACAAATCTGCAGCAACTGTGTGATGCTATCATGTCAATAAGAACCAAAATCTCTGAGGAATGTTTCCAGCATCTTGCTGAATCTGTGCTGTGAAGAATTAAGGCAGCTCTCAAGGCAGAAAGGGGCAAACATGGATGAACATGACCCTAAATCTTTGTCTCCCTCTATGCATTTGTTTGGTGTCCAAGGCGTAGCCCCCAGACCTCTCTAAGATCTATAGATGGACCGTAACAATAAAGTGATGAAAAAGAGACCAAGTTACAAAATAAGAAATTTATTCATGCACGTCTCAGCAGCAGAAATTGAATCCATTTGGACATTTCCTCACAGATAACATTTTTTATTTGTCCTCATTATGATACAACATAGATCAATCTGTAAAGAACTTATTAGAAAATGTCTACATCTGTATTCTTGGGTTGTATATTGCTCTTTAAGATGATCAACTACATATCCACGCAATAGACTTGGGCACATTCAAGTACTGTTCCAAACTAATTTGGCCATTATTCATTTCAGTAATATCACTAAAAAACAATCGTATCAATTCAAAAGTCGCAAAGGTGATGTAAGGTAAAAATGAGTTTGATTAAGAAGGATAAAAGTATGCTTTGCACACGTATTTAAGCCTATGCATCTGTTTATATTGGAGCACATACTGAAGAGATATAAAATCGAATCTGTCTTGCTTCAATTAAGCCGTGAAATGAGGTATATATTCAGTGGTGAAACAGATATTATTACCCATCGCATTTCTCCAATTTCCTTTGATCATTTTGTACATTCACAATGCAGCTCGCCTTTTATATGTGTTATTTTCTTCACGCCAAACTATTTAGGATCTATTCCAGAATATTTCTGAAAAAAAATCTTACTGTCCAAATTTACAAATATACAACATATTTATTAACATTTCTATCAGCAGCTTCAGTGCAAAGATATACATATCGTACATCAGGATAAAGAAACAAAAAACATTAACACAAAATTGGCATAAGAAATGTCAGAAGGCATAGTCACGGAAGACGTTTTTCTTTGTTCTATAGAAATGTACTTCTCTCCTAAAACGATTTGAGTTTTGTACACAGGCTGCATAAAAAAATAAATTCTGTGCAAAGTGTGTTTCATTTTTCAATTCCCGTCCGCAAGAGAGGGGTTATACGTCACTGTCCTCTTTAACGAGGTTGGCCGTGTCTTTGAAGCTGTCCTCGGTAGGCGAGAAGGTGTTGGGGCGATCCCTCTTCTGAGGTTTGGCAGGGGGGGCAAACGGAGATGGCTCAGGGGCAGAAGAGTCCCCGCTGCTTCCTACGGGCTTTTCATCCCTCATCTGTAAAACAGCACAGACGGTAAAAAAGAGAAGCCCCTCCCCACCCCAACTTTCTGTTTAATTTCTGATATCTTAGAAAATGGCCGGACATACCTCTGAATATGAAGGGTTTTCAAATGTGGTGCTTGGCTTTAATTTTCGTTTGAATAAGCTCCACTTTGACTCCTGCAAACAAAACACAGTCACTGAGGTGGCTCCATGCACGGGTGCTTTAAAAGTATTTAAAGTAGATTTCTTTTGACTTTGTGCACGTATGATATTCACATGGACAGGTTGGGTGCTGACGGTAGACGTGTTTACCACGCCTACGCTCGGGTCTCCACGGTAAGTCGGGTTTACAAAGTTGTTCTCCCGCTGATCACTGCTCACATTCACAGTCACCTGTTTTAAAGCAAAAATGTAGCAGTTTATGATTATAAATCAGATTAATTAAAGGTTCATAAAACACAATCTAAAAAAAATACACAGCGATGTCTTTGTGGTTTGTTTTTTCCTCCTTTGTGTAACATAATAGAGGCACCAGATTAGTGTTATTTTGGCAGCACAGGATCTCCAGTAGTTCCTCTTTATATTGTTCATTTCTATTTCATAATAAATGTATAGTATACACTTTGTATAATAGTCATAAGGAGATACTAACCCAGCCTCAGAGGGTCAAGGCTTAATGTGGTGGGATGTAAGTATATTATCTGCTTCTATTCTATTGTTAATTTGTGAACCTCTTTCTTTTTTTTTTTATTTATTATTTTACTTGGTTGTTAGTCAAAATGATTTTAGAGCCAATTTCAATTCCTATTCGTTTTCTTTAATTAATTTCTACAAGCTGTGTAGGTCTGAAAGTCCCTGCTCTAACCTGTAAAGTGCAAAAGATATTCATTTGTGAGTACCTGCGTGGCATGAATAACAGCAGGGTCCCCAGACACGTGACCAGTGGCATACAGTGGGTTCTCAAATGTAATCGGCTGCCTCCCAGGCTCCATGGCAAAATGATCATCCTATGGGGATATTATAATGGTGAGATTGTTGATATAGTTATTACTGAACTTTTAAATATTTGTTAAGCTCTCAAACAAGCACTTCTTGAAGTTGTACGCGAACATGTTCAAAAACGCTGATTTTGTACTTTTAGTGATCCTGGAAATGATTAGCTGCTTGTATGCATTTATCCAAGACTCACCATCTGCATGCCTGTGTCAATGAATGACACTCCAACGTGTGAGGGTCCGAGATCCACATTATCACCCGACCGAAACGTCACCCCATTCCCAGTGTCAGCGGATTTCACCAAGCTGCTGAGGCTGAACAAAAACAAAACACAAACACCTGAACTTTGGTCTGAAATCTATACCGTGAGCTCCATCACAGTTTTAACTGAAAAAAACTGAACCGAAAAGAAGTGGTAGAAACCTGGGTAGTTTGGGCATGGAGGGGATGAAAGAGCCTGTTCGTTTGTAGTTGAGGAAAACTCCAACAGCCAAACCTCCAGTAATCAGGATGATAATGACTGCCAATAAAATAGCTACAGCTAAAGGAAAAAGGGGGTAAATATGCAGATTCATGATACAGGACATTCGCAGTGAGATGCAGATCATTAACGTGACTAATAACATTTTGGTGACAAGCCCATTAGTGTTTGTGACTTTTAGCAGACCTGTTAGTTTATGTTAAACATTGGTCAAACTAATGTGTTAATTAGCTAGCTATTAAAAACTCTGAGATTTCATCCACTCAACAAATTCTGCAAATGCTGAGCCAGAATGTTCCCACCTTAAAATTTTAGGCAAATAAGCAGTAAATAAATGTGACGTCTTCAGCATGCATGCAGGAAATATTGCTTTAAGTAGAGCTTGACTGATATAGGATATAGGATACAGGACTGATGCTGATATTTGGTGATTTAAAAAGCAGCCAATATTTTTCTGTGTGAAACATTTATGTGTAGTTATTTATGAGCTCTTACTAAGATAATATGACAATGCAGTTTATAAATAAACTTCTTTTCATCTCTCAACAAGTCGCAGATTACTGGATCTGCTCAGATCAGCTGGTTGTTGCTTGTCGCTTTCCAAACAGTGAGTTAGCGACAAAAGTCGCAGAGTGCCCTCTGGTGGACAAAGTATACCACTCGTAACGTAGTTAAATCAGAATCAGAATACTTTATTAATCCCTAAGGATATTGAAAGGTCCCGTCTCTTCTTTAAATATTTCTTCTTTCTAATGCCAATAACAATATAGTGGCAAATAGCTGCTACTGGCTAACAATAACACTGGGTCTAGTTTCAATACTAAGACATTAAAAAATGTTAGTTAGCTTATAAGTAAACGACCATACCTGTTCCTGCTGGGGCACCCCTCGACTTTCCCATCTCACAGTAGCTGCCCACATAGCCATAAGGACATCTGCACAGAATCATGATCAAATGCGATAACAATCTTTAGCCGCAGGAAAACCTCACTGGTAAAACAACCCGAAGTGTGCTGGAAAATTCCAAAGATATGAGGTATCACTGACAGCGATGGGTAAAAATGGCCGTGGCACATGAACTCACTTGCACTTGGGCAGGCCCCCTTCATCAGTGTAGCAGGTTCCACCATTCATGCATCTACATGCAAGCGGCATTGCAACAGGAGCCTCAATGGCTGCAGGAGCAAAAGCCAGGCGTACCAGAGAGTCAACAACAATGAAACAATATCACAGCACAGTCTCTCAAAACCACACAGGAGCAGCCAAGCACGAGTGGAGGATGGATGTATTGATGCGAAACCCCAGCTTATGTGAGGGTGCAGACAGTACATGCACTGCAGTTGTTGTTATTTACCTGCGTCACATTCGTTGGAGTCAAACTCCACCGGGGAGGAGCCTTGCGGGCAGGCACAGGTGTATCCACCAGGTCGAAGAAGACACAGGTGACTGCACACATTCTTACAAGGGTTGGAAACTAATGACATCAGAGAGCGAAAGCAACACAGTGAGCAAAATAAAAGTATTTTGGGAAATATCTTAAGCTGGCAACACATTTCAAGACATATTACCACTTCACTAGTCCTCATCTACAAGAGAAAACACTTAAAACTAAGCCCTTTATAATTACATTGGTCCCTGTGTCTGTGCTTAACTACATAAAAATAAGTTTAATGTATTGTGCTTCCTGCCTGAAAATTAACAAATTGCAAAGATTTGTGACTTCAAATGATTTCTACAGAAACTCAATTTATCTGGATCTCAGTTTTATACTCGCAAGTATGCCTATTGTCAGTGAGGGTTTAGGTTTTTCAAGCTTTATATTAGTATTCTTGGATTGTTTGCCTTTATTTATTTGACAGAACAGCATACTGTAGATTAGACAGAAAAGTGGGGAGCGATCATGTGGGGGATAACACGCGCTGCAAT